TCAAATTGTTCATGATCCCGAACACCCTCAAGTCTGACAACTGATAGTTTAAGGGTTCAGGGTTTGGGGTTTAGGGTTTAGGGTTTAGGGTTTAGGGTTTAGGAGGGTTTTAGGGTTTTGGCGTTGAAGGGTTTTAAGGTAGGGTTTGGGGATCGGATAACGTCCATGGAAGTTTGAGATTTTTGTAGGCCTCGCGAGCTTGTTCGCCTACATCGTTAAGCCCGAAAGTGTGAACTGCTGTTGCCGCTGTCATCTTGGAGGACAGGTCATCTCCACCTACTACCGTGAGGAAGGCCTTCTGTCCAGGCACCAACACTCCAGTTTGCCAGTTTACGTAAATGGGTAAGGGGGCTTGCTAAGCCGGGTCATGATTAATTAGAACAGTTATACACCTAGAACTGCTGAAGGTACTTAAGACTATAATATAGGGGCTTACATAATTAGCAATACTATGTCGGGGTTCCTTGTTATAAGCACAGCATAATGCACCCCACAGCCCTATTGTTATTATTTATGCCCCTCTATTATCTAGTTACTTACACCTGGAATTTATGAGCCCGAAACCAAAAAAAAACTAAACCTCCAAACCCCTAAACCCTAAACCCTTCAAGGAGCATCCCAAGGTGTGATGGGGTTTCGGGGTTGCGGCCCTTTAGGGGATAAGGGTCCAGGTTGGGATTTAGGGTTTCGGAGTTGGGAGATCAAGGGTTGTGGGGTTTAGGGTTTAAGGGTTTTACAGCAGGGTTTAGTTAGGGTGTAGGGTTGTGGGGTTTGGGGTTTAAGGGTTTTAGGGTTTAGTTAGGGTTTAGGGTTGCGGGGTTTAGGGCTTAACGGTCCCTGCACCAGAGAGTGTGGTATTGGGTTTCGCGTGTCAGGGACTATTCATTTCAGGTCTTAGCAAAATTGTATCGTGGTTGGTTTTGGAATTTAGAATCATTGCGACTTGGATTTCGGCGTCCAAGCTTGAGTTCATGAGCCCGAAGATGATTACTTTTAGGGTTTTAGGGTTTAGGCTGTAGGGGCCAAGCGTCGCATCAGAGAGTCAAAAGCCAAGGCGCAGCAGCAAGCTAGCATCCGCCACGGTGGAGAAACTCCTTGGCAAGTCCATTCAGGCACGGTTCGAACACAGGGCGTCATGTTACGCCAGTTTGGAACTAGGGTTTAGGGTTTGGGGTAGCCCCTAAACCCTATAGACCCTAAACCCTATAGACCCTTATAAACCCTAGACTCTAGACCCAGACTTTGTCTATCCTTTCAGGCTGGTAGTGCTCTCGGCTGTAGCATGGTAACATACTTGTGCAGGAAGTATAATGAGGTATATTGTTCGGATTATAACTACTACTTCTTCACACCTCTGAATTAGATCAGCCCTAGCCTAATCCGCATGCCACCAAACTAAAACAAGCACATCCTGTGGTTCCCAAACCAGGGATGTCCATTCGTCCTACGTTTATTAGAGATCAGGGCCCGGCTCCTTAGGAACAAAGAGGTCCTCTCTCCTTGAAATTATCGGTAGTTCTCTAAAATTAAGGTCCCTTTCAGGGTCCTTTGTATAGTATAGGGGTGCCGGTCCGTTGCCGGTCTATATTGGCGACCTACAAGCGACCCCAATTTAGAGAACTACCCATACTCCGAGAATATGCTAGGGTTTAGGTTTTAGGGGGCTGCCTCTAAAACTGGCAGGTAACCCTCAACCCTAAACCTTTTAACCCGTAAACCCTAAACCCCAAACCCCTAAACCCCTATTATAATCCCTAAACCCCCAAATGGCAGGTGCAGCTCCTGTCGTCTAAAGATGCCACCTTCGTGCCCAAGCAGGCAGTGAGGGCCCACCTCCCCATCGGCGAAGCGCATCTACGTCGCAATTAGGCATAGTGGGCTCTACCCATAGGCTCCATTATAGTCCTTTTTTGTGGTTTATATTTAAGACCCTATAATGTAAGCTCCAGAAGGAACTACTATGGAGCCAGGCTTCATGGGCTCTGAGTATGTAAGAAGAACCCTCACCGGACTAGACTTTGCCCCGAAGGCGCAAACCAACGCCCCTGCATGATGTCTGGAGGTTAGCGTGCTTGATGCCTGTAGTTGAGCGGTTTAGGGCGTGGGTTTTAGGTTTTGGGGAGTGAAGGCTGGACAAGACTGTCGTCTGCAGACTCCCTAGTGGGTGCTCGCGTGTACCGGGGAAGTGCAACGAAGCGCCCAAGTCCCGAATCTTAAACGGAAACCCGAAAGTCCTAAACACCGAAGTCCCTAACCTTAAACACAAGGAAATCTCCAGATCCTCTTGAAGCGGTGGTGGTCAACAGTACGGAAGCCCAAACCACGGTGCGCTTCAAGAGCAAGTACGTGGGAGAGGCACTTCTGTGTTAGTGGTGTGTAGGGGTTGGGCTTTCTGTTTTGGGATGCAAGGTTAAGGTTTATAAATGCTTGTGGGATGCACTGCTTTACGACCTAAATCCTCGCTATAGCCGCCCATGCATGAGGAAGGACCCCTAACCGCCCTGCCCAAAAACCCAGACAAGACAGTTGAAGCAACCGGCATCCTGACCCACATGTCGCGAATGCGAACCATTTCTACATGCTTGGCTTCAGCCACAAGTTTATGGTTTGAGGGAACGATGCTATACCATGCTAAACCATACTATCTTATACTGCGCTATGCTATACTAGAGTTTAATGCGAGCTCAGGTTACAAAAGCTGCAGCTTTCGGACTTGGGCTTTGGAAGAGCCTGTCCGTAAGCTTATTGTCATTGCTATTATCATGGTTCTACGGTTGATGATATAAATCCTGCATTACCCCATACTAAGGAATATACCATAATTCCCATAGTTTAGGATCCTTAAGGTCATGCAGGATTTATATCACCAACAGGTTTGGATCCGCCGTGACTTGTGGATATCTTGTCGCTGCGTTGCTTGCGGTTCTTTGCCTCGTCGTTATTTCTGGGCCTCCATGTATACTACCATTGTGGAGTTAGGTCCCAAAAAAAGCATAATAAGGATGGTCTTTTGGCGCCTAATTCCATAATGGTAGTATACATGGAGATTCTGGCGTCAGTTCTGTGTTCTGCCCTCCTGGTGCTGCTTCCAAGAAGAGGAGGGGATGACACCTTTCTTCCGTGGTACAGACGAAGTGCAGGCCGCGCTAATCTAAACCAGAAGCTTCCAGACCCTGAATCCCTGCTGAACAACACGATGTTATGACAAATGCTCCCAAAGCCTAAACGCGAACTCCCACAAACCAACCCCCAAACACCCCCTAACCCTGATCCCCGTCATCCTCGTAGATGCACATACAAAACCCCGGGTGAAGCTTTCAGGTGACGGTACCCTCGTCGTGGGTGCAACCCAGCTGGGCCACATCGTTTCTTGGCCGGTTGTTCAACACATCCGAAACCCTAAACACTAAACCCTAAACCCTAAAATCTAAGCCCCACTCCCCTGACAGCCTACGTGGACGCTTTTTCGGTTTAGTAGGCACACTTAGTAAGATGGAATATGGGATAAGTATGACATGGCTTATATGGGGAGACAGAGCATACTTACAGCCTTAAGCCCTGAACCTGCAATTCGTCAAATCCTAACAAGCCAAAGCTCCATGTTCCATGTGAACGCCGATATGGTTAACGTTGCCAACATGGGTCGAACAACGGAGATTCGAGCATGAGTCATCCCTTTCCGAAAAATCTGACAATATAGCTAGCTCTGGACGAACTATTTGGGCTAATATGAATGCTTTACCATGTAAGTTGTCAAATTTCACCAAATGGGAACCCCCCTGGACCCTAAACCCCCTAAACCCCCTAAACCCCCTAAACCCTAACCCTAGGGTGAAGGACCCTTCTATTCGGCTGAGTGGTTCGGACCTTAAGCTCCCTGAGGCCCCAGGCTGAAAGCTTGAGTTTAGGAGTTTAGGGGCTTAGGCTTTAGGGGTTTAGGGGTTTAGGGTTTAGGGTTATAGGGTTATAGGGGTTTAGGGTTATAGGGGTTTAGGTGTGTAGGGTTATAGGGCTTTAGGGGTTTAGGGTTTAGGGTTTAGGGCTTTAGAGGTATAGGGTTTTAGGGCTTTAGGAGTTCATGGTTTAGGATTTTACGGGTTCTGGGGTTTAGGGTTTGGGTGACCTTGAAGATTTCTTGGTCTAGTAGAATCCAAGCATCATGAGAGATTCAGCTTCAGCTGAGAGACCGGGACGAAGGAAACCTGAACTTCCTTCACCTTTCAGGATTTAGGGTATAGGGTTCAGGGTTTAGGGGTTGGGGGTTCACGTCCGCGAACCATGAAGCTTCGAGGAAACAGGACTTTTGGTGATGCGCAGAAATGACTTCGGCTTAGGGTTCATGTTTGAGGGTCCAGGTTCACGTTCAGGTTGGGTTCAAGGTTTGGCTGCGCTAGGATTCCTAATCCGGAACTCTCACTATACTTTCAATTGCTTAATTAGAACCCAAAACCGCATGGCTGCTTCAGCCGTATCCGGCGAGGGGACAGCCAAACTTCCCGACTCGGCAAACGTGGCGGCTGAGCGCCGGTGTTCGTAGAGTTTAGGGTTCAGTCAAACCCTTGTGTCCAAAGATTATGGAAACTCATCCCTCATAGAACCCTTATACTTAGGTCTCCAATACCCACCCTTTAAACTGTTTGGGCCCTTATAGTTTAGTAGCGATCTGAAAGTTTAGCCTTTCATCTTCCTGGCTTATTTGGGGGTGGGGAGAGGTAGGTATAGTAGTCTGAACCCAAAACTCCTCAACTGCCAACGGTTTATGGTTTAGGGTTTAGTGTTTAGGGTCTCATGAGCTGCAGTTCCCTGGCAGGAAGCGTTTGAAAGCTGCGGGCTCTCTACGGTTTCACAGCGCCGAAATCCAAGACCCTGAAGCCTTACCCCTAGCATCAAAATAGCCCTAATGCTTTATATAATAGGGTCTTTAGGACCAAACCCCCTTAAAACATAAGTCCTTTGAGGATAAGGGTTAAAGCCACGAGCCGTGAACTGCAACAGCCAAGGTTCCAATTTCTGCCTATTGAGTGGGTAACGACCGAGCCAAAGGAAACGGCGGTGGACTGCTCCCCGGAGGATTTCGAGGACTTTCCGCCAGCACCAAAAGTAAAGAAGGGAAGTTTTGGGGGATCGACGAGATGACGGGCTTTAGGGCTTTGGAGGTTTACGATCTTCGGGCTCACGGCCTTGAACTGGAAGTCTTCCATTACCCCATCCATGCGGGTCACTGTCGCCGCCCTGAAGGAGTGTATCTCAAAGCCGGGCTGCATGTGGAAGGAGCCCGAATACAAGGACTTAGCTTGTGTGGTCGCAGACTGGGGCGAGTGGCAGCCCTGCTCCGTGACATGTGGCGTCGGGAAACAGAAGCGCTTCCGGCCTTTCCCGACACAGCGCAGCTGCCGCAAGCTGAATCCACAACCTCTGGTCGCAGAAGACCGATACTGCATGAAGCCCGCGTGTCCTTTGGTCGCAGGCCATTGCGAGGCTGCCAAACCGAACTCAACTGGCAGCGCCATGCTGTGGCAAAGCAAGGCCAGGACAACCCCTCGCTCCGCGAAGGAGCCACGCAACTGGGTTCTTGTTGGAAGCTGATCTAAGTCACCATAGTTAAATAAGGACGGAATACTGTGGCAACTACTGTATACCCCCACTGTGCTAAGTGAACGAAATTATGCGGGCCTATACATCCCCAAACCGTGATACAGGAATCAGGAGCACGGCTGCAATGCGTCCCCCCGAGTACTAGCGGGATGTCAGAGTTTTGGAGGTCTCCCGGCGAATCTGTGCAAATACACTAACTACCCAACTCTCTCTTTACACCCGTAAGGATCCCTGTGTGGACAAATCCCTATAAGCGCTGTAAAGCCATGTCAAAAACCCTGACCCTGCTTTTTGAATATGGTACCCTAAACCCTAAACCCTATTTTTTGAATATGGTACCTTACACGGCCCTAGCAACCAGGGGCGCCCAATCCCCGACCCTCCACCCGCAATCCAGGCCGAAACACCTTCCTAAAACAAACCTACAGTGAACCCCAGGAAGTCGAAGCATGGTTTAAGGATGATTAGTGCCATGATTCCTTATGCTTTAGCTTTAAGCTTAAGGGCAGAAGGACATGTTCCAGCTGTCTGGCTTCCCAGAGAGCCCAATACCCCTTAATCAAGGAATATACCTTAAATCATAATATATTAAGGCCCCTACAATTAAAGGTATATTCCTTAATTAAGGGGTATTGGGCTCTCTGGCTTCTACTATAGAACCCGCAAGCTCTATAAATCTTAGGAGGTGCAGGCCCCTAAACCCGACCTGAACCCTCAAACAAAAACCTACCTTTGGTAGGGTTCCTCTTGCTGATTTCGAAATATAAGTCAGGGTTTAAGGTTTAGGGTAGGGTTTTGCAGGGGTTTAGGTAGACCCTAGGAGCCCCAAGCCGTATACACCTTAAGCTCAGAACCCTGAACCTCAAACCCGATTCTCAAAACAATGCTAAGCCCTACAGTAGAAGCCAGAAAGTTGAAACATAAACCCTAAACCCTAGAATGATGGATCCTCATGTCCTTATATAAGACGATCCTAGCACTAATCCTCCTAAACCCATGTTCAAACTTTCTGTGGCTCCCCTCCTAGACCCTCCATCTACCCTCTGTCAGACCCTAAATACCCTTAATTTGGGACCATATAACCCTATTTGAGGGTACTTGGAGGGTCCTGGTTTAAAAGAGCCCAGGCTAAACCCTAAACCCCTGTTGTTTGTTTAATATGGTACCCTAAACCCTAAACCCTAAACCCCTAAACCCCAAATCTGGGGTTCCCCTTTAAAAGAGCCCAGGCATAGCTCTCCGGTCTCCTCCGGCGACAGCTCGCGGAGCGCTCTTGGAGCTGCTAGGACTGACGCATGCAGGAGAAGATCCACTCCAGGCGGCAAAGAACCATCTAGGGCTTTTGGGGTTTGGGGACCTATTTTCGAGTTTGATTTCTGTTTGAGTCAGGAGCATCTAGATATCTAGGACTTTATAAGGCTAAAAAGCAATGGATTAGGGGTTAGGATAGGATTTAGGATGGGGATGGATAGGGCCTGAATAATTCACAATACTATTCCGTAACCCTAGGTTTCCTTTTCACAGCCGAGGCCCTGTACTGCATTTACTAGCTGCACTGTAGGGTTCACATTTCAGGTTTGACAGTTTGACTTAGTTTTAGGTTTCAGGCTTAGCTTAGGGTGTGGGGTTCGGGGTTAAGGTGATGCCCTCCAGGCTGTCCAGGGGGAGCTCCAGAGCATCATAGACAAGCAGGCAACCGCCGACGAGGAGGTCATACGGGGGCCGAAAATGCACATAAACATACGGATCTCCCCCCCGAAAAAAAGACAAATAAAAGACAAGGGACAAGAACGCATGGATCGTGATGAAGGATGTCTGCTCCTCCATGTTGACGTGGTGCCTTGGGTCCTTAGGTGAAGAAAATGACGACGCCTGCGAAGACGACAGGCCCATCGCCTATTCACGAGCATCCGCTCTACAGTGAGGAGGAGACCCCAAACCCTACACTCTTGAACCGGATTTACGGCCTTACGGACTAAACCCTAAACCCTAAACCCTAAAACCAAAGACCCCCACACCCTTACATCCTACACCCGAAACCTTAAAACCCAAACCCAGAATTTAAAGAACAAGCCCTTGAGGAGACCATTATCGCTTGGGCCGAGAAGGGCACGGGCTTGGGACCTGAATCTTGCATGGTTTCGAGACTACTTTTTTTCAGGGCCCTGAGGAGGAATACAAAATATATGTCACATATACGTGTATGGACACATTTATTATATATACATACGAATGGGTACGTTTAACTGTGCATGTATGTGTGTGTTTGTATGTGTGTATGTATGTATGTATGTATGTATGTATGCATACATACACATGCACACATACAGCTCAGGAATGTCCCGAGTCCTACTTCGCCTTTCAAGTCGACATCGATGTGGAGACTTCCACCATCTCCGCGGCGTGTAATCCCTGTGCGGCAGGCTTCGCGGCTCGAAAGAGCTTGCAGGTTTTTGGGTTTAGGATTTAGGGATTAGGTTTTCGGGTTTGGGGTTTAGGATTTAGGGATTAGGGTTTCGAGTTTGGGTTTAATAGGGTTTGGGCTTTAGGGTTCGGGGTGTAGGGTT